ATGTTCATGCTAAATCAATGACAAGGAAGTGAGAAAATATAAAAGAAATAAGTATTAATAACATGCTATTTCTTCTCTGTTTCTCTCTTTTGGATTATAATCTTTAATAGGTACTATGGCATAGATGGCTCTTTCCAAATTTGACATTTTAGGGATAATTTATTTTACTCTAGTCAAATATTTTTTCCTATTTTGAAAAGTAGTGTTATTTTATTTAATTCAGGTTTTTATTTCATGTTATTTAATTCAGATGAGATAATTAATGTATAAAACTTTTATTGACTGTGACATAGCAAAAGCAAAAAAACCCAAAAAAACCCACAAAAAGAAAAAACAACAATATGAGTTTTAGAGAGGGACAGACTTCAGTTTGAACACCATTCATGCCACATACTGTGGCTCTTATGTGGGTTAATTAGCCTGTCTGGGTCTCGGTTTTCATCTTTAAAATGTGAATAATGATATTCATAAGAGATACTGTGAGGACGAAATGGTAACATATATGTATAAAGTGCTTGGCACACATAGTTCCAATGATCAATACCATTTAACCTGGCTTACTATGAGATACAAAGGATGCTAAATGCATTATACATTTACAAATATAATTCTTACAGTATTCCTGTAAGGGTTATTTTGGTCCCATTATATAGATTTATAAATAAGTATAGAGATGTTGATTAATTTAACCATAGCTGCATAAGTCTTAAGTTGCAGGAGCAGAATTCTAACTGAAGTTCATCTATTGGTCATCTATTGCTCTGTAAAAATCATCTGAAACTTAAAACGGCAAACATTTCATTATCTCTTATGATTTTTGGGTTGATAGGACTGAGGTGGGTGGTTCCTTTGCTTCAAAAAATGTCAACCACAGCTGCAGCTATATGATGGTATCGTGGTAGGGTTGGGGGTGAGGTTGTAACATCTGAGATGGTTCACTCACAAGACTGGCAATGAGTGCTGACTGTCTTCTGGGAGCTCAGATGGGCTGTTGACTGGAGCACCTCGATTCTCTTCTTTGCAGTACTACATGTAGCCTCATTATGCGAATTACCTTCACTCAGCACAGAGGCTGGTTTCCAGAAAGGAATGTTACAAGAGGACAAGCTCCAATGTGCAAACATGTAAGATGCCTTCATGTGCATCAAGCTTGCTAATGTCCCTCTGGCCAAGGTTAGTCACATGGAAAGGCCCAGAGTCAATGTGGGAGAGAACTTTGCAAGGGCATGAATACTGAAAGGGCCCATTAAGGCTGCTAAAGTAATAGTTCACTTCAACACCTGTTATCAGAAGCCCTCTTTTCTGTCCTCCAAACTATCCTGGCTGTCAATAATCTTCTGTTCCCCTTCAGCAGCACGTTGGCAATGCCTTGTGAGGACTTAGGAGTTTCCGACAGAGTCAATTACACATTTTTAGTAACTTTTTACACTTTCCTGCTTCCAAATAAGACATAAAATTTCAATTTTATATAGTTTTAAAATAAATTTCAGTTTTATAAAGAGTTCTTTTCCATGTTATTCTTTTGTTGAATATACTAAAGTGATTAAGAAGTTATTTTTATATTTATACTTATAATCTAAAAAATAAAATAAATTTCAGTTTTAGAAAGAGTTCTTTTCCATGTTATTCTTTTGTTGAATATACTAAAGTGATTAAGAAGTTATTTTTATATTTATATTTAAAATCCTCTGTCATCTATTTGAGACTATCAATCAATGTGTCACTGAAAAAATCCACTTGGAATTACATTTAGGTAAGTAGATTCATGTATCAATATATTTTCTCATGTTTTTATATTACTGCATTTAAGAGAAAAGATAAGTTTGCAAAGAATTTATCCAAAAAGACAGGTGATAGAAGCAACCTCTTTTACATTAATTTTGTCTTCCCCCAAAAGGATGAAATATTTAAGCCTAAAACTTACCTCAAAGGTATGGTCTAGTCTGTATACTGACACTGAATTTACTGCACTGACTATCTCCAATACACCATTGAAATTATTCAAATCTTGAAAAACTTGCAGAATTTCTATAATTCTACTCAGTATTGCCACCCGTTCTTCAAAATTTTCTGCTTCCACAATGCATCTAACAACAAAAAAATTTAATGGTTTAGAAAAGTTTCTTCACCTCACTTAGAAAACAACAACAAAAAAACCTACTTATAGTCAGAATTTTAGCTAAATATGACTTAATATTGTGACTATTAAGAATTAAGATAGAGTAAATAAAAACTTACTTTTCAAACCAGAGTGTGAGATTTGTGGTATGGCGAATCATTTTTAATAAATTTGGAGAATTTATTTCTTTATCTTCTTTGGTCCACACACTCCCTACAAGTTCAGATGGTTGAACTTTCCTGTGGAATCAAAAATCAGTGCAACTTAACCTACAAAGGATTAGTATCAAAATTATTTAAAGATCTCCTAAAACTTAGTATGAAAAAGACAATTAACCCCAAAGATAAGTGGACAAACATACAAACAAGTAATTCACAGAGAAATAGAAACAAACAACCACAAACATGAAAAATAATTCATCTCTTACTCAGGGAAAAGAGCATAAAACCTCAGTGCAATCCTATTTTACTCCTATCAGACTAACAAAAGTCTGATAATACCAAATGGGTAAAAATATGACAAAAGAGGACCTCTCCAACACTGATATGGAAGTAAAAATTGAAATACCCACTTTGTAAAAAATATGACAATATCTCATAGTAATAAAGATATATACACCAGATGACTCAGCCATTCTACTCCTAGGTGTATACCCTATATAAACTCTTAAGACAAAGTTATACGAACATGTTTATAAGAATGTTCAGTGAAGCCCATTATTTGCAAGAGCAAAAATTCCCAAACAATCTAGAGGCTTATCATCAAGAGATTGGATATACTGTGGAACATTCACGTAATGGAATACTATACACAGCAGCTAAAATAAGCTAACTACAACTATATTTATCAACTTGAAGAAATATTGAGAACAATTTAAATAAAAACGTTACAGAACAATACATACATATATGCAGTTTGAAATGTACAAAACAATGCTATTACTGTCTGTGAATATATGTGTATGTATATAAATTATAAAGATATACAGAGGAACAGTAAACACCAAATTCAGGATAGTGATTATTTCTTGGGAGAGAGAAGGGTAATGAAATTGGGGAATTACATGAAGGATTTCAATTTTATCTG